AGGCGCAGAGCACACATATGTAGCCCATTCAATGAAGTGCCATTTGCTGGGATTACAACAACATTTGTGGATGCTGTGCCTGTTGTTCGAGCTGAGCTCAATTTGCATAACTCGAATAACTTGCATTCCACTTAATGCGTTTACATTTTGTTAGCGGCATCGATAGACGTTCAACTATTTCAAACAAAAGCCGAGACTGTTGATGATGATGATGATGATGATGACGATGATGATGATGCGAGTGATGATGATGTGTAGAGTCGAGCTCGTTGGGTTTTTCTTCATTTTCGCTTAAACATTTTACAACTATTTGCTGGCTTTTTCTTTAGTTTTTTTTTCTCTTGTTTTTCATCCTTTATGATATTCAATTTCAAATTGTAATGCTTGAAGCGATTAAGTACACGCTTTACGCCACTTAACTTCATGTCTATGTGTTGCTGCTCTAACACTCGGGTTTCCATTTTTTTTTCCATTTTTTTCCCATTTTTTTGTCGTCCTTTAGCAGAGTTTGGTTTTGGTCGCGGTATTTGCACTGCTTGAGTTACTTTGAGCAACGCGTGCTGCTCGGCCGACACTTGACTCGCTGCTCGACCCGGCCATCAGCCACATCCTCATCATTATCCTGATCATTATCCTCATCATCAGCATGACATCGACGCTCCTAAGTGCTGGCTCAGGCCGAGCCCTGTTGATGCTGAGGGCGAGTCGGGCGTGTGAAATGTTTTTTTGCGTGCTCAAGGACTCGTTTTTTTCCTGCTGCTGCTGCTGCTGCTGCTGTCGTCGTTGGATATCTCATGTGCGTAGAGCTTAGCGGCTGGCGTTGTCGAGCTGCCAAGCCAAGTCCCAAAACTCAGCTCGAGCGACAGATTTCGTTGCGTTTCGGTTCATATTTCTGCTACAACTGCAGCTGGCTTTAAGCGGCTTAAATTGCGTATACGCCCCGAGTAGTGAGCGTGTGTGTGTGTCACTCCCTCTCTCTCTCCTGCTGGCTGTCTGCCTGTCTGTAATGGCTTGGCAGTACTCAGCCAGTAGGCTCTTAGTTTGCATTTCTAGTAGCTGCCACATGACCAGAAAACTTTCTTGCCTTGCCTGCCGTCTCCTGCCAGCCACTCAATTATTATTATGCCGCCTTGGACAAGCCCAGCTGAAAAAGTTTCAGTAGGGAAGGGGAGGGGAATGATGTGCGTGCCACATTCACCTGCCTCTTTTCATTTTCCTATTCGCCTTTTTTGCTTTCTCTAGTTGTGTTGTTCATCAAATCATTTTTGTGGCCAATGCATTCGTGCGTGCTCTAATTTGCTTTTGGGCGCACAGGAGTCGTTGATTGCTAGCCGGCAACTGCTAGTCGCATTTTAATGCCTTTTTAAAGGTGCAAATGATTTCGCCCCCAGCCATGACAAGTTTTTCTCTTCTTTTTTGGGTTTCGCGTCTCCTGCTGCTGTCAGCCGACAAAATCTCGCATTAGCCTAATTTTTACATTGTCGAACGAGACGAGATGTGCGGTGAGGGGGCGAGAAGGCCTCCAGGCACTGGTAGCTGCTATGAAAATTAAGAAATTACCATAAATGGCAAAGTTTAGCACAAAAGCGAGGCAAATGATAAAATGTGTTGCCTACTTATTTGGGCCGCATTTAAATTGAATTTCTGTGCGCGCATTTTAATTAAATTGTGCAGGAAAAGAAATGGAAACAATTGT